TCATGAATTAATTGTTTTTCGACTACCTAACCTACCTAACCTAACCTAACCTAACTTTTTCGGCTACCTAACCTAACCTATAAAGATTGGTTAGGTTAGGTTAGGTAGGGTTGGTTAGGTTCGGTCATATATCTACGTTAATTTTAACTAAATATATATATATATATATATATATATATATATATATATATATATATATATATATATATATATATATGTCGTACCTAGTAGCCAGAACTCACTTCTCAGCCTACTATGCAAGGCCCGATTTGCCTAATAAGCCAAGTTTTCCTGAAGTAATAGATTTTCTCTATTTTTTTTCTTATGAAATGATAAAGCTACCCATTTCATTATGTATGAGGTCATTTTTTTTTATTTGAGTTAAAATTAACGTAGATATATGACCGAACCTAACCAACCCTACCTAACCTAACCTAACCTATCTTTATAGGTTAGGTTAGGTTAGGTAGCCGAAAAAGTTAGGTTAGGTTAGGTTAGGTAGGTTAGGTAGTCGAAAAACAATTAATTCATGAAAACTAGGCTTATTAGGCAAATCGGGCCTTGCATAGTAGGCTGAAAAGTGAGTTCTGGCTACTAGGTACGACATATATATATATATATATATATATATATATATGTATATATATATATATGTATATATATATGTATATATATATATATATATATATATATATATATATATATATAGGGGGTACCACCTCTGGTGCAATTATAGGGACCCACAGCCTCAGAGAAGGGAACACAGAGCATTCAGGGAAAAACTTGCCATTAACTCTGAATACGTAAAAGTGTTCGCTTCTCCTACCACCCCCCTTTTTTATGGTGTACACTTTATTATGCAAGGTTATACAGTTACATATCTGATTTTATTCAAAAAATTAACATTAAGAGGACACAAAAAAAAGTTCGCTTCCTAGAGGCTGTAGATTTCCTCGAACTCCTCCGACGCGGGCAGGAACCGATGATGCAGCGAGCATTCCCCCCTCTGGATCGCAACACTGAGGCGCTGAAAGAGAAAACTTGCTGCTCTTGGGTCTCTTGTGGTGTCAATGAGCTTGGATCCAAGATCCTTAAGAAACCTTCTTGCATTCTCTTCCCATGGGCCTAGGGTCTCAGACCCTATTGGAACGAAGTTGTACCGATGATCTAATTGCCTGTACTTGGCTGACTTGTCTCTTTCTCTGCGTGTCGCCGCGGCTCCTGCTGTGCCGGCAGAGAGGTTGATGTATGTGGTTGCCAGGGTGGATACACAAGTATAGTCCCATGCCAACTGTCTGCCACCCTTCCACGGTCGCAGTGTGATTCCGTCTGGTCGGCCGGCAAAGCTAACAGAGTCACGGATCAGTAGGTTGCGGGGCTCTCTCTCCGCTGGATACTGAGCAGAGGCAAGGCTTCTTTTAATGATGTCATTGACTTCGTCGTGTCTAGTGTGCCAACCACCAGATTTTCCACAGTGCAGGCCATGCAATCCATATTCGTCAGCATCTGCCTCGCCGCCAATACACTTATGAACAGTGTGGATAGGGGCAGCAAGACGGAGAGCAACTGCAATACGGAGCTCCTGCGGATCAAGACGTGTGCCTGTTGCAGACATAGGGACTGCCAAAAGGAAGTCCCCTGCATGGGGAGCCTGCACAGCTGTGAGGCGTGCATGATCACTGGGGGTTGTTGCTGCCTCCAGCAAAGCTGTGGCTTCATTGTCTACAATGGGGCTGTCCCAGCTGGATTGTTTCTTGGCTTTCGGCATGGCTGGTCTGAGTGCTGGGTCTTCCATGATACCCCATTTCGTGTCGCATTCCGTGTAGTGGGGGTCCTGTATCCCCGCTACATCACTCAGGGTGTCAGGTAGAATTTCCTTAACCAGATCATCTGATGCTGAGGAGGAAGACAAGAAGGCTGGGACAGCAATTTGGGTAGTAGTGCGGACACCCAAGCCACCGAGCCTAACAGGAAGAGTGTCTTGTTTCCACTGGCATTCGTTGAGGGAGAGGTTAACAACTTTTTCCAGCATGGTCTTCAGTAAGAGGTCATACTCTTCAAGCTTTCGGCTGTCGTAAGATGAGGCGCACCTCAGAAAGTAGGTTAGCCTCGGAAGGGATAGGCATTTGGTGAGGAGATAAAAAGCATCGTGGGCATCGATGTCACCTATTCTGTCTTCCATCCTCCTAAGGTCTGCGATTTTCTTGTCAAGGATCTCCTCAATGGCGTTAGACCCGAGGGGGGCTCCAAGGAGGGTGCTGTTCTCGGCCCTAATGACATGGTCTCCAGGCAAGGCAGACCTTATTCTAGCTACGATGTCTGGGTTGGAAGAGACTACTTCACACTTGGAAGGGTTCAGGACAAGACCCAGGCTTACTTCTTGCTCCCTTATTTTCCTGATATCTGCCAAGAGATGGTCTACGGTGCCAGCTATAGTGCCATCATCCAAAAACCAGATGTTGAACTCGCTGGACAAGCTTTCGGTGATTTCTTTTATGACTAAGCAGAAAAGAAGGGGAGCAAGAGGATCACCTTGCTGAACACCTTCACATGATCTGATTTCGTGTTCACCAAAGAGCAGTTTTGACTCGCCACTGTAGCACGATAGTATGAACGGGTTGAGGGGCCGGAAATGGCGATGTACGGCACAAAGTACTGCATCTCTTCTGACCATGTTGAAGGCATTCTTAAAGTCCAGTTTGAGCAGGGCCTTTTCATCAGAAATGTTGGTGATGTAACCTCGTGCTGCATGGGCAGCCGCTTCACAGCCTTGGGGGATTCCCAATCCTAGCTGGATTGGTTTCAGCAATTCAGCCGCTTGCTGGCTGACAACCCTCGTAGCAGCCTTGGCAATCAGGCGTCGGAGAGTGTTGCCAACAGCGATTGGCCTGATTCCTTCGTCCTTCTTTTTGAGAGCACAGAGGGAGGCACCAAAAAAGAGAGGCCTGATGACTTCAGGTATCTCACCAGCCAGGCACATGTTGACGAACCTTGTGAGTTCCATAAGAAGATCTTGTGCAGCATCACCAACCGCAGGATTTAACATTTGCTTGATGTGTTGAGGTTTTAACCCTGTAAAGCCGCCTGCTGACCCAGGTGGAAAAGAAAGGGCTGCTTTGTAGACCTCAGATTCACCAACGATTAATGGGTCTGAAATGGTGTCGGCTGATGGCGGAACGATGTTGTCGCCTTGAGGGGCTCTGGGTGGGTGCTTGCTTTGCAGGGCCCGTGCTGTGGCTGAGTTTCGAGGAGCAATTTTCTCGTCACTGGTGAGGACTCTAATAGCACTTGCGGTATTTCCCTCTTCAATTTTCTTGGTGATTTGTGCTCTGATTTTGTACGTTTCCGGTACGTTGTTGTTACCATTTCTGCGGTGGGTGTGTTTTGCTCGCAGAGGCAGGCGAACTAGGTTGTCCCCCCTTGGGTATTCATTTATCGCCATCAGGACCGAGGAAGCAAGTGATTTGTCCATCCTCATGTACAGCAGCCAACGAATTGGTAGGCAGATCCTACCAGAGCGTATGAGAGAGACAGCTGGAACTCATGATCAAAAGTTCATCGAAGCAGCCAGACAATGGAACACCATTTCACACCTTCTACCTCTACCCTTCACACCCTCTACCCTGACCTCCAGCCCCAAAAGATCACAAGCAGGCCCATTGAAATAGTTCTATAATGGAAAAGACTGCCACAACAATGCTTGATAATGCAGATGCTGAAAACAAAGCCCGCCTCCTAGCGGTAACAGCACCCCACATGCTGGGGATTTTTTATTTGCTGTGTCCAGTGCAGCCCTGGGAACTCGCCTCAACCATAATGCTCTCTTTATTGGAGTTGCCCTTCGCCTTGCCGCCCCCATCCTCACCGAACATAGGTGCATCTGCGGAATTGCGATGGCAGACCAATATGGTTGTCATGGTCGGCCATCGCAATATACGACATACATATATATATATATATATATATATATATATATATATATATATATATATATATATATATATATATATATATATATATATATATATATATATATATATATATATATATATATATATATATATATATATATATATATATATATATATATATATATATATATATATATATATATATATATATATATATATATATATATATATATATATATATATATATATATATATATATATATATATATATATATATATATATATATATATATATATATATATATATATATATATATATATATATATATATATATATATATATATTTCATTTCACATTTCACTGTACATTTCATTAAAGATTTTGTTCATTCGTGTTACAATAATTTGCTCGTCCAAACGTATAGCCAAATATAACCAGAAAAATGTTTTTTCCAGTGTACTACTTTGTGTCTAACAATATTGTCAGAGAGTAAACGTAAAAATTGTGAAACTTTCCCTTGACAACTTAGTAGTACTGAATATGTACTTGTCAATTACTGAAAATAAATTTACTTCCATATGATGTACAGTTTATTTCACAAAATATATAATTATCTATAAACTAAAGTGCCAAATACAACCGTACGAAAATTTTAGCAAACTGTTCAGGTACAGGACTTGTCACTCACCAGTGTTGCTACAGGTGTACATTGAGCACACCACAAGACTTGTCACTCACCAGTGTTGCTACAGGTGTACACTGAGCACACCACAAGACTTGTCACTCACCAGTGTTGCTACAGGTGTACACTGAGCACACCACAAGACTTGTCACTCACCAGTGTTGCTACAGGTGTACACTGAGCACACCACAAGACTTGTCACTCACCAGTGTTGCTACAGGTGTACACTAAGCACACCACAAGACTTGTCACTCACCAGTGTTGCTACAGGTGTACACTAAGCACACCACAAGACTTCTCACTCACCAGTGTTGCTACAGGTGTACACTGAGCACACCACAAGACTTGTCACTCACCAGTGTTGCTACAGGTGTACACTAAGCACACCACAAGACTTCTCACTCACCAGTGTTGCTACAGGTGTACACTGAGCACACCGGGTCACCATCATCTGGAAAGAAATACAATCTATAAGGAACTGGCAAACTAATACACATGTAAACAAATTATTCTTTGCAAGTCCTGATAATTAGAAACAAAAATGTCGATATTTTACTTAAAGAAGTCTCAGTAACACTTATGTTATCAGTCAAATTCAACATTTTTTTCGAAATAAAACAATTTTCTACTCAAAGTATGAATACAAGACAACATTAAACATGCGAGATTAACACAATGTAAATATTAGTAGAAAATTGCATTTAGTAAAAAGGTGAATAGAAAAACTATTATTTTAGAGATTGCATCAAAGTAGGTTAAGATACATGTGTCACCCTAGCCCAGGCACTGTGTCACCCTAGACCAGGCACTGTGTCAACTGAGCCCAGGCACTGTGTCAACTGAGCCCAGGCACTGTGTCAACTGAGCCCAGGCACTGTGTCAACTGAGCCCAGGCACTGTGTCAACTGAGCCCAGGCACTGTGTCAACTGAGCCCAGGCACTGTGTCAACTGAGCCCAGGCACTGTGTCAACTGAGCCCAGGCACTGTGTCAACTGAGCCCAGGCACTGTGTCAACTGAGCCCAGGCACTGTGTCAACTGAGCCCAGGCACTGTGTCAACTGAGGCCAGGCACTGTGTCAACTGAGCCCAGGCACTGTGTCAACTGAGCCCAGGCACTGTGTCAACTGAGCCCAGGCACTGTGTCAACTGAGCCCAGGCACTGTGTCACTCGATCCCTGACACTGTCACCTGAGCCCATGTAACACCATTAAGGTGTTTAGTTTTATTTTACATATTAGAATCAATTATCCATGATATATGAGGCGCCAGACTGTCTGTCTTTAATAATTAAGAAGTCATACCTTATGAAGTTAATGAGCACACGGTGACCAGGGGTCAGGTCATGTCAGGTGACCTTGCTTTCTGCTAAGCCGATAAATGCAAACGGTTGGCTGGGTTGTGCCAGTCAAACAAGCCGCTGTTTAAAGGTGTGGTAGGTAGAGAGCCTGAGGCTATTTTACTGATAGGCAGGGCTTAGCTCCCGGAATACCCATAAATGACCCAGGGAACTGTACATTCGAGATCAGAGACACAGGGGAGAGCAGAAGTGCAGTGGAGACCGCTGGTCTTGAGTCCCACAGACCACAGGCCGTCAGGCCGGGTGGGGACTGTCGACCGTAATCCACACCCTCCCCTCTCTATCCAGCTTAGTTTCAGTCTTTGGAGAGTTGACCTTAAGATGACGTATCTGGTGTGTTTTCCAGTTTAAGGTGTTGTGTGATTTTTCAGGGTCAGTCAGTCGAAGTGTTCTCAATGTCTTGTGTGGTGACTCACATAGAATATTATTGTTGTCCTTTAACATCCAAAGATATAGTTGAATTGTGTTACTCATTTGAATGATACCCATAATAGTAAATAAACAGTTCATCAACTTAATTTTTAAATTGCCTTTAATTGTGTTCCTTAGATCTTTGTCAGTTGAGGCCAGAGTAGAAACCCTCCTAGTTTAATGGTTTTAAGATTTTAATTTACAAGTACATGCATAGAAGGTTGATACATGCTAACATTTAATAACAGCTTAAAGTACAGACAAATTCCATTCATTGTCTTATAGTTAATTAACTTGAATGGATGGTGGCAGCTACTTTCATCATTTAACCAATTCTTATTTCTACCTCCTACTTCTACTTTCTACCCATCTATCTTTTCTACTACTCTACTATCTTCTACTTTCCACATTGATTTCATAATCTTCCTCATTCTAACTTTTCCTCTCCCTTGACCATAATCCTCACACGTCCCTTCCACCTCTCTACCTCCCCACACCACCATGAGATCCTTCAGATTTCATCTCATTTCGTTCCATTTAATTTTCCGATACGTTACACCCAGGCACTGTGTTAACTGAGCCCAGGCACTGTGTTAACTGAGCCCAGGCACTGTGTTAACTGAGCCCAGGCACTGTGTTAACTGAGCCCAGGCCCTGTGTTAACTGAGCCCAGGCACTGTGTTAACTGAGCCCAGGCACTGTGTTAACTGTGCCCAGGCCCTGTGTTAACTGAGCCCAGGCACTGTGTTAACTGAGCCCAGGCACTGTGTTAACTGAGCCCAGGCACTGTGTTAACTGAGCCCAGGCACTGTGTTAACTGAGCCCAGGCACTGTGTTAACTGTGCCCAGGCCCTGTGTTAACTGAGCCCAGGCACTGTGTTAACTGAGCCCAGGCACTGTGTTAACTGAGCCCAGGCACTGTGTTAACTGTGCCCAGGCCCTGTGTTAACTGAGCCCAGGCACTGTGTTAACTGAGCCCAGGCACTGTGTTAACTGAGCCCAGGCACTGTGTCAACTGAGCCCAGGCACTGTGTCAACTGAGCCCAGGCACTGTGTCAACTGAGCCCAGGCACTGTGTCAACTGAGCCCAGGCACTGTGTCAACTGAGCCCAGGCACTGTGTCAACTGAGCCTAGGCACTGTGTCAACTGAGCCCCCACACTGTGTTAACTGAGCCCAGGCACTGTGTCAACTGAGCCCAGGCACTGTGCCAACAGAACATAGCCCTGTGTCAACCGAGCCTGGGCACTGTGTCAATTGAACCTTGGCACTGTGTCAATTGAACTTGGGCAATGTACAATAACTCTTTAAAGAGCAAATCCTCCTTCTCTTTCTTCCTGCGGGTGCCAGAGGGAGCAGACACATTAAGCCCAGGAATTATGGTGTCAAAAAAAGAAATCCTCGCATATAAAACATTACTATTATCATTCATTTCGGTATTGAGAACGTTTATGTGGGCTTGTTTAGTAATGACTATCATCGTACCACCGTTCAACAGGTTCGTAGAATTTATTTAGGATTTCAAAATAATCAAGGAGCACATCAAGTTTCTTAACATCTTGTACAATGTGTTCTTTGTGCACATCAAATTTATGATATATATATATATATATATATATATATATATATATATATATATATATATATATATATATATATATATATATATATATATATATATATATATATATATATATATATATATATATATATATATATATCATGATCACCCTAACATGATCACCACTCACTGGGTGTACTGTGCCCTAACATGATCACCACTCACTGGGTGTACTGTGCCCTAACATGATCACCACTCTCCTGGTGTACTGTGCCCTAACATGATCACCACTCACTGGGTGTACTGTGCCCTAACATGATCACCACTCTCCTGGTGTACTGTGCCCTAACATGATCACCACTCACTGGGTGTACTGTGCCCTAACATGATCACCACTCTCCTGGTGTACTGTGCCCTAACATGATCACCACTCACCGGGTGTACTGTGCCCTAACATGATCACCACTCACTGGGTGTACTGTGCCCTAACATGATCACCACTCACCGGGTGTACTGTGCCCTAACATGATCACCACTCACTGGGTGTACTGTGCCCTAACATGATCACCACTCACTGGGTGTACTGTGCCCTAACATGATCACCACTCACCGGGTGTACTGTGCCCTAACATGATCACCACTCACCGGGTGTACTGTGCCCTAACATGATCACCACTCACCGGGTGTACTGTACCCTAACATGATCACCACTCACTGGGTGTACTGTGTCCTAACATGATCACCACTCACTGGGTGTACTGTGCCCTAACATGATCACCACTCACTGGGTGTACTGTGCCCTAACATGATCACCACTCACCGGGTGTACTGTGCCCTAACATGATCACCACTCTCCTGGTGTACTGTGCCCTAACATGATCAGCACTCAACGGGTGTACTGTGCCCTAACATGATCACCACTCTCCTGGTGTACTGTGCCCTAACATGATCACCACTCACCGGGTGTACTGTGCCCTAACATGATCACCACTCTCCTGGTGTACTGTGCCCTAACATGATCACCACTCATCGGGTGTACTGTGCCCTAACATGATCACCACTCTCCTGGTGTACTGTGCCCTCGCTACTCTTCAGTAACTCCTGGTGACCTTGGTCACGGTGAACTTCGACGCCAACCACCTGGTTAATTTTCACAGACTTTTCATTTAGCGTCACAGTCCTTCACACTATCAGATCAATACTTTGGTTAATTTTTCCCCGCGTGTCTTCACATGACTGGTTACATACTCAGCCTTCACACGACCCCTACACTTTCTACCAGACCTTACGTAACTGGGTGGAGTTGCCCTCTGTACAGACATTTCTTCGTTACTATCAAGCATTGGGTCATCCTCTACATCCAGCTGACAACCAATTGCTTGTTCTATTATCACCTCGCCAGGCTCAACACCATCGTCAGCATCGCAGCTCATGGCAGCTGCACTGACTACTTTATGGGCGTCTACATGTACATTGTCCTGACTTGCCTCCCCCTCACCAGGTTGGATGACAGGAGGTATAGCGTCCTGAGCAGTGTTGCCTGCACTGTTCTTGTCTGCTTTACCTTTGTCGTCCTGACCTAAGTTACCTGCACCGTCCTCACTCCCACTGGAAGTCACTCCCACTGGGAGTCACTCCCACAGACGTTTCACGAACAGAGTTTTGGGTTCATCCCCCCCCCCCCCCCACCTGGAACTGCAGCACTTACAACAGTGGGTTCATTTCCTGGTACACTGTCCTCCATTAATGGCGAAAAATTATTAATTTTTAATCCATTAATTCACGAAATATGTTGATAGGTTCTGTTGCCTCCACCTGGCAGGCAGCAGCCAAGTGACCAGTACGCCCACACTTAAAACATGTTTTCAGTTGTCCACTGTATATAAAGTTAATATATTGGACTACTACTGACACTGATGAATGAATATATTATGGGGAAGTTCAATTTTCACTGTTCTTGCTCCACTGAAGCACCCTTTTCCTGCTCCATAGGTATATTTATTAAAACGAACATTGTCCACTTTCCCATATTGTTCCATAATATGGGTAATGGTTCCATCTGACTTTTCAAAGGGCGCATCCCATCACAGAAACATATGTAAACGTCATGCTCAAAGTAATT